GTTTGTCATCTGCGACAGAACGTTCTAATTTTAATATATATATATATATATATATATAAATAATACAGTAAAAAATAAAAATTGAAGAATTTTTAAATTTATCATTTTCTTTATAAATAATAATATAAAATATGATTTAATAATTATTCAGATGGAGTGTTAGAAAAGCCTACAGAATGTACTTCTATGTAGCCTACAGAATTGTGTTTGTTCTCAAAACTTAATCAATTTTGATTAGATTTTGCCACTTTCCATTAATTGTGATGAGAAATCTAAAAATGTAATAAAAATGGGGTCCATGATTTTGTTTTTGAGATATAATGGGGTCAAAGTGATAATATCCCTGCTTCCAGACACAATTTAGCACATCTAATGGAATTTAGGGGGGAAAGCATTGCATGAGCCAAACAGAAAATGTATGCAAAAAACAAACAAAACACTAAAACAAAGCCATTGACATTGATCATTTTGTTCTTGGATCGTGTACTCCATAGTGGCAAGTGCAAGGATTATCTGTCTGTGCCAAGCAAGTGTAAAGATTTCCTCTTTCTTTCTGGCTCTGCCTCAATTCTATCATGATATAATTTACTATTCACAATGTTCTAGTTATTTGTATAAATCTATAATATTGCAAAAAACTCCACCATACCTTTAAAATGCAGTCTATTTTACACCTATCGAACGTTTTCGGTCAGATTCACAGACCTCCTTCAGGATCGAACTATCAGATTTCAAATTTGCAAAACTGAAATTCCAAAATGTACGTTCTATAATCTTCTCAATCACGCATGCTCATTATTATAATTTTAATGTCGCCACTTTCCATGCCGATGCTATTTTGTTTGATTCACGGAAATTTATATTTTGCCCTTTTTCTTTGCACTTGTAAATGTGCCAGGCTTCTGCATACTTTAGATGNATTATGCGATCGCAGATCAAACAGAGATCGAAATCAAATGGAGCAAGGCAGATATCACACAAAAAGTGGAAAATAGAAGACATCTAAAGTATGCAGAAGCCTGGCACATTTACAAGTGCAAAGAAAAAGGGCAAAATATAAATTTCCGTGAATCAAACAAAATAGCATCGGCATGGAAAGCGGCGACATTAAAATTATAATAATGAGCATGCGTGATTGAGAAGATTATAGAACGTACATTTTGAAATTTCCGTTTTGCAAATTTGAAATCTGATAGTTCGATCCTGAAGGAGGTCTGTGAATCTGACCGAAAACGTTCGATAGGTGTAAAATAGACTGCATTTTAAAGGTATGGTGGAGTTTTTTAAATAGTAATGCAGTTAGAGATATAATGATCTATAATATTGCTATATTTTATACAGAAATATCAAAGTATTTTTAAAAAAGAATAATTCTCTCTTCAGATCTTCAAAGCCTAATTCTAATTTTATACAATTAAACATAAAGGATTAAACACAATATGCCATTTCACAAATATTTTCTGCAAATTTTAGCATATTTCTGAAGTTTGAACATGTGAAGTTAAAATATATACATATAGTGAAAACTTTGTCAATGTTTCAGTTTTTTGATATTCAAAAATATTATATTAAATTATAATAAAATTATCACTGAAATGGTACTTAAAAATATTATAATAGTAGATATCTGAACTTTTGCACCAGTTAGCCTATTTACATATAAAATATACCTCATGTAGCATTACTTTTGCATAATATTATGTGATTTGCCTCAACTGATAACATTATGTGGGGGGTCAATTTTATAAGTAATTTAGATTAGAATCAATGAAGATTTTAATTAAATTTTAATTTCAAATTAAAAAGAGAAACAATTTATACTTACCATATTTATGAAATATAGTTATAATAATTTAATAAAATAATTTATAAATTATTAATTTTATAATAAAATATTTTTCTTACCAAATATTCAAATACTAAAGTTAGAGATTTTTCTGTGTGGACTATATCATGAAGTGTGACTATATTATTGTGCCTTAAATCTTTCAAGAGAGAAACTGAAAGTATATTTTAATTATTCAGTTACTTTTATAAAATTTTTTATAACTCAAAATTTAAACAAATAATCATACATATTATTTTTTATTAAATATTGAAGTAACAATAATTCATTATCATCATCAATTTAAATATAATAGTATTAATTATGCATATAGGATAACTCCATCAAAAGAACAAAGGAAAAAAATTGTTTCCTGACACACAACCCCTTAGATCTTTAACCACTAAAAGTTAACATCTTTAATGCCCAATAAAAAAATAGCTCTGCCAAGTTTCAAAATTTTTGATTCATTCAGTCCTGAGATATAATACAAAATAGATAACAGAGCATGCACATGCACAATTCTGTAAAGGGTTTTTGTTTTTACATTTTTTGGGCTCCTGGATTATCAAAACATAAAACAATGCAAAAACCTAGGGGGGGGGTCAAAATTTGACTTATTATACTTTCCTGTATCAGTAGTGAGCAGCCTTTTTATGTGCTTGTCAAATCTGATGCAAAATTTTCTCGTGTGTCAACTAAAATTTTTGGGGTACATTATTATTTGGTTTAGTGGCTAGACCAGGGTTGTCCAACCTTTTTTCTTAACGGACAAATTAGAAATTTACATATATTCAGTAGACCACAAAGGTACTTTACATAATATGCGCTTTTAAAAAGTTCAAAATGTGAATATCAAATTTTAATAACAAATACAGTATTTTTTGTAATTATATATATTATTGGCAGTAAAAAAATTATATTTCCACAAAATAAATTTAATGCAATTTTAGACATTGCCTTCCTTTTATAATATTGTCAATATCTGCTTTCATGATACTAGTCTTATTTCTAAGAATGTTAGTTAAATGAGAATCACTCAATTTATTTCCTTCAGCAGTTTTGATGATTTTTCATGCATGAAAACAATTGTTTACAACAGTATGTACTACCCAACATACATAACACTTTTCTAGAACCAATTGTCATTACAATATCAAAGTGTATCCAGTGAAATGAGAATAATTTTTACGACATACTTTACCAAAATAAATGGAAATGTATCTAAAAATGTGTAGGGTATAGTAGGCTGTGGTCTGCATAAAAATATTAAGTGGGCCGCAGTGCAGGCCATGGGTTGGACCATCGCTGGGCTAGACAATGCTACAAGAAAGCTAGATTCAGTAGATTGGCATTTCTGCTTGTAAATCAGTATATTGCAGAGATAGATATCTCGGAAATAAGATGTTTGTTTTATTATCTTATTATTTATTATTACTAAAACAGTTAACAGTGTTTGTTCCTATACTGGATTTTTATTTAGTATCACTCTACTCAATAAAATTGTATTCTTTTTAAGATAAAATATACAACTCAGCAAAGATGTTAATATTTATTTTGTAAGGTGAGCCCTAGGTTGCATATTAGAAAAAGTCATTGATGTGTCATATTTAGCACGTGTCAAGGTTTGCTCACTCCTGCCCTCTGTTATATTCTATAACAGCCAGGAAAGTAACAACAACAACAACAAATCCAATTTACATGCAAATGCAATAAGATCAGAAATTTATACATTTATGCTCAAATGTGTATTTTCAGTCTTTTATTAACAATTTTAAAATACCAAGAAATATAATTCTGTTGTTGTAATGCTCTCCTAAATCTTCTGATTATTATTAGTGCAAGTACAGTAGAACCCCCCTATAACACTGTTGATAATTCCGAGTTATATGAATTCCATGTTGTATGAGTCACTTAGATGTGAGCCGTTCACAGCCTGGCACACGTATTTGTAAAATCTAAGTGACTCGTACAACATGGAATTCATATAACTCGAATTATCAACAGTGTTATAGGGGGGTCTACTGTAAACTAATCTAAGAGGACTATTTGTTTACTTCTATTAACATTTATGAACTAGTAAATAGTCAGGATGATAATTACATTTTAAAAATTTTCACAAGAAATTAATTAAAGAAATATTTATGATTTAGTCCTTGCCAAAGAAAAATTTATTTTACATATTGAGGCAGATAAGAAGCTACAATAAAAGTTGTCTCCCCATTAAGACTGTCCCTGAGGTGTGAGAAGAACAAAAGATGAAAAATTCCTGTTTTTTCTTCAACTAATTTCTTGTAAAAATTTAAGATTTTAAAAAACTTTTAAATTGTTTATTTCTATCTTTTAAATTAGTTTAATAGTAATGAATAATTTTAAAGTCTGTTTTTAGCACTTTTAATCTAAAACATTAAATATTTTAAATTATTATATTTGCACAAATATAAATAAAAGATATAGAAATTTGTGCACAATGATGAAAAATTTTATGCCATATTAATAATAACATAAAACATTCAAAAATAAAAAGTAAATAAATTTTAATTTGTAGTTTATCTGAATAAATGTAAGTTTTATTAAGATAATTTCAAATATCTATATTGAAATGATGAATAAAAAGAAGTTTTACTTTAAAATTTTTAGCAATATATTATTATTTTCAATTAAATTAAAAGCTTTATAATAGTTATATTTCACCTTCACGTATGGCAGTACAAGGCGCTCCTTCTTCGTGTTCTATGCGTATTTCTTTAAGTGCTACTAAATTACCTGTTAAACGACTTTTCCCTTTAAAAACAGTTGCATATGTACCCTAAAAATAAAAATCATGAAATTTTAAAAATATGAATATTAAAAATAGTTACATTAAAATTATTATTCTAACATTACCAATATTAAATATATTTAAAATTTTTAAAAAATATCATAACTTGCCAATATATTCCCATTATTAAAAAAAAATCAAATTTGCATGAAATAATCAGTTTTTCTTATCAATAATATATGATTTTAAGTAAGCTTATTTGCTTGCAAACACTTTTAGGATTAATTTTTTAAGTTTCATTTGCTTATTGAATGATTATTGTTATTATTATTAATTTTTTATCAAATATAGTAAAGCGTCGATTATCCGAATCAATTGGGGACTGGGGTTGTTCGGAAAATCAATTTTTTGGATAACTGATTACATACGAAAAAAATACATTATTAATGTAGTATATTAATATATCCCAACAATAGAATATTAATATATCCAATGATAAACTTTTCTCCGTTGCATGTCACTACGCGTTGAATTTTCGTCAATGTTAAGCCTAATGAAAATTTTTATAATAATAATAATAATAATAATCGTGGCTATTGTATTATTAAAAATTATTTCTTTATTTTGTACAAACAAAATAAATATATTGAAAAATATAAAAACAAAAAAAATTACACTTTAGAAGTTAATCTAGTATCAAAAACGTTTGATTCAGCACAACACAGTCCGACTGGAACGCTTTCAGTTAACTGATGTTTTGGTTGTCGGCATTCAGATAATCGACGTTCTACTGTAATATTTGTCTATAATTGTTTTAAACTACGTTTTCTTTTATTATTACCGATGATTTTTTTTTTATTAAGATCTTAAATTATTATATTTATTTAAAAATTATTATTATTCTTAATATTTTCTGTTTTCAATTAAATTTTAAAATCACATTTCTATAAAATACACCCAATTCTACTTTTACATTTTTTTTGCATAATTTTGATTTAACACAGGGCTTCTTAAACTATGAGTCACAACCCATATGGGGTTGTGAAAACTTTCTGTTCATGAAGAATGTCACTTCAACCCAAGATGTACCTGTCAGATTCTCCAATATTGGTTAGCAAATGTTCACAGCAAGAAAGCATTCATACATCTTTTCTTGCTTTGATCTGCTACTACTTTTCAATTAAATCTACTCCCCTATTTAGTTTCAATCTACTATCATTTACTTTTTTCAAACTTAGCATTGCACATACTATTATGTGAGGTAATACCAGCAAGGTTTTGTGCTATTATAGAAACATAATAATTCAGTTACTGAAAATAAAAATTTTAATAAAATTTTCCTACCATCATTCCTCAGCATTTAAGTATAAAATCTGTACATCCTTGAGTTGTATATTGTGACTAGGAATTATGTTTTCCTAAACTTTTTGGGTTCTTGAGTTTTAGTGATTTGAGAATTGGAAATTCTCAAATCACTAAAACTATAAACTGCTTTCATGAGAATCACTTTTTAAATTCTTGAGATCTCAAAACTAAAGAAAAATTTATTATTTACGAAACACTTGGATTAATTATAAACAATCCAGTAATGAGTTGCTTAACTTTTCTGGCAACATTTAAAACTGCATGTGTGTGCCTTATTAAAAACTTTTATATTTTTAATTATTATAAAATGGCAAAAAGATTAATTTTGAGGATAGAGATGAGATTTATAAAAAAAATTGTAAATGCTAATAATGAGTAAAATCTTCATTATGTCTGACTGTACTTGAGATATTACACGACCCCCCTTTATCTCCCCACTCCAACAAACTTTAACCATCAAAAGTTAATAGAATCAATCCCCCTGCAAAATTTCAGAAAGTTTTGACGAGAAGCATAGGCATTATTAAGCTTCAAAGAGGGTAAACGAAATCATGCCCTACACATACTTCCCCTCTGTTCTGGATCTGTTGTTTAGATAATTATAGTATCTTTCAGCTAACACAGTTTTGTCATTTTATGAGTATGAGGGCCTGTGGGTAAGTTTTTGGCATGAAAATTTGGGTATATATGAAAAAGATGGCAAAACTTCAAATTCTGCTGTAAAACTGTGTAAGTCAGATAGGGTTTCTCAAGTCATGATATACCAAGTTTTATAACTTAAAGAGCATGAAAAACTTCAATGACAGTTTATTTTAAAGTCAGAATATAAATACATGATAGACATTTACACATCATCTACAATAATTGTAATAGTTTACTGTAAAACATTTTCAACAGAAATTCTAGTAAAATAATGAAATAGAAAAAATATAAAATTTTTAAATTATGATGATAATCTAGTGGATTTTTTGCTACAATCATGTTGAAATATATTCAGTAAAACAATAAAATCTGTAATAATTAATATAATCTTTTAAATAAAATACAGCTTTTCTCTTATTTTGTTATTCAAATTGTACAATTAAACATATCTATCTACAGTTTGTCCTATAATATTAAATGCACATGCTCTGGAAAAAATCTAATTACAATATGCTTAAATATAGTTACTATTTAATTCTAATTAATACTTTTAATTTTATTATATAAAATGTTATTATAAGGGTATTAAGAAACTTACCTCACCAAGTTTATCTAACTTTGTATAAGTTTCCATTCTACCAAATCCAATTTCAGACTAAAATATTTTTAAAAAAATGAAAAACTGTTAGTTATTTTTAGAACAATGGCAGTATTCTAAAATAAGAATTTTTTAGGTATTTTAATTTTCTATAATAATAGAACTAAAATTCAGACAGTGAATAAAATTCTTTATTTTTTTATGAAATAATAAACAAATTACTGAACAACTGAAGGAAGATATCAAGACACCTGGACAAAAGGAATATGAAATATACGATCCACAAACCTTAGAAATCATCCAGCAGAAACCAAATACCACTTTTTGAACATTTTCGGCCTACTCCAAAGTCTTTCAAGAACATTAGAAAAAAAGAAAGTGTTTCTGATGAAGGTCTTCAGAGTAAGCTGAAAACATTTGAAATGTGATATTTGGTTCCTGTTGAATGAATTCTGAGGTGTATGTTTCATATAACTTAATATTTAATAAACAATAGCATTTTCAACCTAATTTGCTAGATCTTCATCAATACTATAAAAATTCTTGTAATCTGCAAGATGCAAACTCATTTTATTCTATACATCATGCTGAAATTAAAGCTCACTTCAAGAACAGAAGGAATATATTTCCTTCAATAAGAAATACATTTCTGAAAATGAGAATCTATTTGCCAACCAAAACAAAGTTAAATAATTTTAATATATATATATATATATAAATGGACATGTGTGTCCCTATATTTCACTTTTCAGCCAAAACTAGACATCGCACATGAATGGTGTTTGTATGTGGTAGTAGCCCCAAGTCTCCATTCGTGCACTATGGTGGTTGCGTCTCAATAGCTATAAGGGTGCGGGAGATATGGGAGCTTAAAGTTGTTGACTTCGAAGATTTTCTATTTCGATTTTAAAAATGTTCGAACCATTTTAAATTCAAATTTGTATTTGAATTCGAATTTAAATTTGAATTGGTTCGATTATAGAACGATTGTAAACGTTCCAGAAAATTGACCAAATTGAAAATAGTTCGTTTGACTGGACATAAAAATTCTCTAATTAATCTGGAAACGGGGAACCTAATTCTTGCATTCTGTGCTATAAGGGTGTGGGAGATATGGGATTGAAAGTGGTTGACTTCGAAGATTGTAACAATGGAAGTGTCAACAATGGAAGTGTTAATAATAGAAGTGTTAACAGTGGAAGTGTTAAGAATGGAAATGTTAACAATGGAAGTGTTGAGTAACAAAGGAAGTGTTAATATAAAGTGGCATGAAAGATTTACAGGCGATTTTTTGCGTTTTTGCAAGTCCTTGCAGCTAGATTCTAGATTACTTAGAAAAACAGTCTTTTATATATAAACAAAACTATATTACATACAAATAAAAACCCAGCGAAGCGGGTCCTTGCAGCTAGTAAATAATAAAAACATTTTCATTGTTCATGTTTTCCAAGATTAGGGATGAGGATAATGGGACCTCACTGCTACCATATATGTCACTACAATACATTTACACATATGTGATTAAATTCTAAATTTCACTATGTTTATAAGGTTTTTGAATGAGGAGGTTGGAAGGGGTGCAGCTACCTTCCTAAAGCATCATTAAATTGCATTGTCCAAAGTAAGTCAGCCTTCTATCTTATTTGGAATTGAATGAAACTTGTGTTGCAAACTTTGAGGATATGATACAAAGCAAGTTTTAAACAAAAGTGTTTAAAAAAAGCAGATCACTGTATGATACATTTCTTATAATTAGTGATGATAAAAAATGAAACATTTGAAAAATCATAGTTTTAGAAGTAAGAAGGTACTTATCTTCTAAATAAAATTTTAACATTTTAAAATTAATTTCTATCACCATAATTGACAATGTACTAGATACCTATATGCCTAGACTTGCTTTTAGAAATTTACTTATTAATGAAAATTAAATTATTGTCATTAGAAAAAGTATGTTATTATTTAACAGTTTTCATTATTACACTCCAATATCTCAAAATATCATTCTCATCATAGTCTATTTCTTGATTTGCTAAATCCAACAAGCAATCTTAGTGTGGAGTTTCTCCTATAGCACTTTTAATCCATTTTTGGGATATCCAGACTTCAAAACCTACAATTCATTTATTTTTATATGGAGATATAGATGAATGTACAATCTTGAATCCCTAAGAACAACATAAATTACTTATTGTTACTGTAACCATAAACTAATCTGCTGCTTGGAAAGAATGTCTACTTTCCTTGTCCTTTACTCCAGAGAAAATTGTGACAACAAAAGGAAGCCTAATATCCAGAAATACTTTGTACTTTCATTTCTATATTTTGAAAGACAGTCAATTATAATATAAAAATCCTAATTATAAAATTCTTATAAATGTAACTTTCAAAGCAAAACAATAGCATTATTAAACTATATCAGCATATTTTTCAATTTATTCACCAGATAATATAAATGGAAAAATCATAATAAAAAAATAATAAAATTATTTTAATATTCTAATTAAACTTAATAATGAAAGCATGTTACCAATGACTGCCTTCTCATTGATCGGCTAAGGGGACCATCTAAAATAGGACCAATAGATTGTTTGGCAAGAAAACTTTCTGGAAGACGGAGATCTGCAGGCAGTGATAATCGTTTAGTAATATCATGCTGAAACAATCCAATATTAAAATATTTTGTTGATTCTTAGTAATAATACCTTTAAATAAAGAGAAAAATTTAAACAATATTAATATTTTAATTACTTGATTTAACCTCCTATTTTTAGGCCTTAACTTAACAGGAGATACAACTTCATCTGAAGCACCAGATGCTTCTTCACTCTCTCCATCAGATCCAATATGAGGATGTTCAAGGACTATGCCTACATAAAATTATTCATAATAAAATAAAAAAATAAAATTTGTATCTTTGTAAAGCAAAAATCTTATTTTTATTTCAAATGTTTTCTGAGATCAATTATTCCTCATCAATAGACAAATTATTTTATAGTTTAAAAATTTTTTATTTGATTACTTGTCAAACATTCAAACATGATGACAGTTTAAAAGATGTTTGTGTGAATTTTCATGAGTATATAACTTTTGTACACAATGAAACAAGATATATTGTTTGCACTCAATTTTTCTTATGAAGTGACTTAGTTTTTAATCTTATAATATGTTCTATTAAGTAAAAAAAATAACATATACAACTGTCTGTTGGCATTACAAAAAAATAATTTATTTTGGCGAGTACTTTCGACAGTATATAAGTGTCCACTCAGTCAGAACTATTAACAGAGAACTCCAGAGAACAAGACATTTGAATTCAAGAAAAAAGAATCCAAACATCAGCCAAAACCAATGTTTTGCAAAATTAATTGTTCCACAAGCACATGAAAATTTAAATTATACATGTACAGTACTGTACAGTTTACAAAAATTATACAAAATACAATGAAATGTAAACTAAAAGATCAGGAATAAAATTGGATTAAAATAAAATATATAAATAATAATAAATTAAACGGTCAATAAACTAACATATAGTGGCACAAATATCACTACACTGTGTTTGAATCATGTGATTTACAACTTTAGAAGATTAAACAGTTCTGTCCACAACTCCAGGATATGCAGTAAGGGAAAGTTGCATAGTGACAACATTGAGATGTAAAGCAATTCCCGTATGAATAATGTTTTTCAATCCCCACAGTGTTTTAAGAAGAGAAACTTGTGAACAAATTGATTCAAAGTTACTTTCTATTGTTTTTTTCTTTTTTAGATAACTCTGTTGTGCACTTGTTATGTGCTGCTACATCATGATATTCTGCAAGACAGAGGCAGAGCATTCTAGTAGTGACTCCAATACATGATAGTTTCAACCCAGTTAGGTGATTTTGTAAGAAGATAGTACATACTCCAGACTTTTCATAGAGTGTAACCTTGTCTCTATCATTACTAAGTATCCTACGTAAGATGGGCTGAGGTGCTAGTGGCAAAATATAGCCAAATTTCTTGAAAATCCAAGAAATATGTAATAAAATTTGACCCAGATACAGAATGGCCAGCATTATGAAAACCAATTCCTTCTTAGAATACAAAGTGGATGGTGAAAATAGCGTGTGTTTGAGCTGGTTGACTAAATGTTTGAACTTAGCTAAAGAATACCCAGCAATGCAAACAACCAATTTAAGAAGGGAAATCTCATCTAAAGAAATTGGGAAGAAGGATATATAAACACCCTGCATATCAGTGCTATAATAACCAAGATTTTGTACCTTGAGGGCTGAAAAGCCATGGATGACATAAGAAGGTTTACCAAATTTATGATACATAGAAAGTAAGATGTCATTGTGACATCTATATACAAGTAGGTCTAAAAAGATCTTGCATCTTTCTATTCCTCCTTAGTAAAGGAAATAGTTGGGAAAATAGCTGACAGCAATCATATAAACTCCTTGTGTGGGAAGGCTCAGATATAACTATATCTGAGCCTTCCCACACAAGTAGAATGTCATCAACATACCTCAAATATAGAAGGAAATCTAAAAACTTTGAATTCTATGGCTCTCAAGACTAATTCTGCCAAGATGGCTGATAGCAGTGAGCCCAAGGTAATCCCTGTTTTGCAAGTGAATGTTACCATTGAAATAGAAATAGCTGTTCTCAGTAATGAGTAAAAGCACCTCTCTCAACCCAATATTTATAGAATGGAAAAACCATTTTCAATTAGTAATGTATTTGCAAGCATGACTGCTAGTTCTATTAAGTATCTTTCCTTTCCTGTTATTGGTGAAAAAATCATTTCTATTATGGGTCAACTGGTTAAACTTTTCCTTGTGTTTTAACATGAGTTTGCTTCTACTAGATACATTTCTAGCTATTCTTTATATAGTTTTTTTTTAAATATAAGCATCCTTTCTTTGTGTGATAACATGGTTATTAGATTGATTTTATCTTTCCATTCTTTAAAGTCTTTCAGTAATTGTAGAAAGTCTGTTTTTGTTTTTTGTTCTTTCATTCTTCAGTTGCTTTTTGTTTATTATTTAATGCATCCACAAGTCTGGATCATAAAAAACATTACAAACAAATATATATAGAAAAAAACTATGTACACTTATTAAAATTTACATAAATACATCTTTTAAACTGTCACTATAACAACCTGCAAATTTTTGAATGTTTTATATCAAAAAGTTTTTTAAGAAATCTTTGAACTAGATAATAAGTTGTCTGAAGATTTAGAAAAATAAATCTCCAAAAATGTTCATGAAATAAAATATACATCATTTGTGTTAAAAGAAAAAAAACATAGTTTTTGCCTTTATTTTCATTTTAACTAAGATGAATATTTCAAATCAAAATGAGCAAAATATAATATACCAACAGAATAAAATCTTGATTATCCAGTATTCTAATTTATCTGATATAAATATATGATAGGCTGTGTATTATTGTCTTACACATGCATATATAATATTTTGCCCTCTCCCACCATTGCTTTTCTATCACATATTGTCATAGAATCTAAAAAGAATTAGCACTTAAAGTCATTAATACAGTCGACTCCCCTATAATTACAGTCCCTATAATTACGATTCCTATAAAACTGTGAAAAAATTGCGACGGTATCCGTAAAAACCCGTAAAAAACTCCTATAATTACGTAAAACGTCATCAGGCAGCCGAACTACTTTCCCGCTGTCCATAGCGCCACGCTACGGAGAGATTACTATCGTCTGTACAGTATTATATATAAATTATATATAAATTAGATACTGTACATATAATTATATATTAATTATATATAAATTAGGTACTGTATATATAAATATATATTAACTTATTGTAACTTTGTTATAATTAAATATATAATTTCCGCCGTCTAGCGTGGCGCCACGCTACGGAGATTTTACGCTAACTATCGTCTGTACAGTATGTAAATTAGCTACCGTAAGTCTAATACAGTACTGTAATTTTATACATTTCTTGTGAAAGAAACATTTCTTATTCAACGGTGATAAAAATTGTTTATATTAATGATGTCTCCAAACTTCAGCAAATTTTTCGCAGAAAAATAACTTATCAGAAAACTTTCGTCATTGCTAATGCTTGTTTTCGTTGCGGAGCGTCCCTCCGCGACGAAAACAAGCATTAGCAATTGCAGTGCGCACTCAGTAAGTAATCCTACAATTTTTTGTTTATAGCGTAGTTTATACGGATTATTTCCACAAAAAATATACGTATTTTGGAAATGTTGAGTCGGATTAGTCTAGAATCGATTAATTTTATGGAAGAAAACCTTTCAAACAGCCGTAGTCCGTAAACTTGACATGCGTCGGGCTATGATTGGAACGACTCGTAAGAAATCGGTTTCCTAAAAAATGGAACGTATCTATGATCTTATAGGGGGGTCGACTGTATATATCACTTCATAATTGCTATTCAGGGTTACAATTGGAATTACAATTCCACGATTATATTAAGACTTATATTCTATTACATTTAACTTGATTCTTTTTCTTTTCTTTTATTAACAAGATTAAGATGCTAAAATGTAATTTATTATCCACATTGAAAAAAAAGTATTATTTTAAATTTATTAATAGCTGAATTCAACATTAAAAAATATTGCTTTGAATATAAAATAAAATTATGTATATATATCCTTATAATTTTTTTGGTAATTCTAAGTTGAAAATAATATAAAATTCTAAAACAAATTAGTTTTATATTATTATTATTCAAAACATAAAACAAATAATATTACCTGAAACAGAATTGTGTACATCTGCGATACGGGAAGTAGAAAAAGAAAGCTGATGACTTGCACGATTTAAAAAACTAAGCTGTTGATTTCCTAATTATTAAAAAATAATTATTAAATATTTTATAAATTATAATTATAATTAATATAAAAACAATAAAAATTTTAAATTTTATTTTGTTTAAATGTTTTTTTTTACTGATTAGCATAACAAGTTTTTTACTGATTAGCATAACAAGTGCTCAAACCAAAAAGATAATGTGTTCAGGGAAAACTTTTATATCATTTTGACAATAATGTAACATTAACTTTATAAGTATATTCTTTTTAACTTTGATTTTAAAATATTTAAACTAAAATGAAAATCATCATATTAAAAAAATACTAAATTTTTGTAAAAGTCAATATTCATTCCACTGAAATCTATATAAACCGATGAATAAATGTCTAAGAAGCACTTATATGTATATAAATGTGTAATAAATGTACAGTAGAGCCTTGATTATTCGACTTAATTAGGGACTGGGGTTGGTCGGATAATTGAAAAGTCGGATAACCGAAAAGTATGAAAAAATCCATTATTAGTGTAGTGTATTATTATATCCCATGTAATTAGTATATCGCTATTAACCTACTTCGCATTGAATTTTCATCGATGTTAAGCCTAACAAAAATTTTTTAAAATAATAATCACTATTGTATCGTTAAAAATTAGAAAATTAAGCCTCGTTTAAATACTGGCTCCCTTTCATGGTCGAATGAGTGTTGCCAGCTAAAATACGTAAAAATAATATTAAAGTAGCCAAGACATAGTCAAATATTGTAGCGCCATATCACTAACGGACATTTGAAATTTGCCGACTAGGACGGTCGGTTAATCGGGGGTCGGATAATCGAGGCTCTAATGTATATGATACTGTAAATGACCGATATCTGGCGAATGTCAACATTCTCCAGTGAAAGTCTGCATTCACACAGTTGTTTCATGTATGTACAAAATATTTGCTAAATATTCTTACTTCTCACTTACACCGGCAAATGTTGACATTCAGCATGCACTGATGGTAAATGTTGAATAAAAATATCTTTATTATGTTAAGACAAAATTGCAACTTTTTAATATGTCAAAATAGGAGAAAGCTTAAGTAACAGTGCATGTAAATAAACTGTTGAACCTAAAACAAACAGTACATTCTAAATCATTAAAGAAAATAATACCATAATAAACTTACATATAAATTATGCGATTAACATTATACAATCTTATTTATTGCAACAACTTAAACTGTTATGGCACTTTGAGAATTGCACAAGAGTTCCTTGCTTTTACAACTGCATTTATTTGTGGAACACTTCTTTTTGCAATGACAGTGTGTATAGCCATGCCCTCCACTTTTTGAATTAGCTGCAGCTGTTTCTCTCAGCACTATTTCTTGAGAAGAAATCTCATCTATGGAAAGTAACTTTTCTTTACAAATTATGAACTGATTATGTTATTACATGATTACAAACTGATCTGTTAATGGTGTCTTTTATTCAGATATCGCTGACGGCTTACCAATGACCCTTCTCATTCTCCACCACTCGACTTGACAAACCAATCCCCACCTCACGGGATCAAAAGAACAAAAATGCCATCTAGTGACAAAGTGGTTTCCACCAAACCGTTGCCAGGAAAAGAGGTACAACCTTGTCCTATCTCCGGCTACACAAAGGATTTGGCGACAGACTGTCGCTTCTCTGTCGACATCGGCTTCGTGGGTGTCGTTTCGACCTCCACCAAAGCTTATCTGTGCTTGTCAACATACACCGGCAATTGTTTGAATGTATAATAATATAACCAAATATTTGGTCTTTCACCAATGTATTTTGTATGTGTCGACATTCACCAGAAAATATTGACATTCCCTAATTTTGGTCTTTCACAGTAACATATATATATATATATATATAATAAATATGTAATAAATATAATAAATATACAGTGGAACCTTGCTTAACAAGCACTTCACACAACGAGCATTTTGTTTAACGAGTAAAACAAATTGTAAAAAAATGACTCACTTAACTAGCAATGTTTCGCATAACGAGTGACTAGAGGGAAAGTCCCAGATTGTGCACATGCTCCATCAGTCTATGTAGCACTCATTCCACTAGCATCTCAGTGTTGCTCGTGATGAAACATTTTTCCAAACTTGTGTTCACACATATTACGTATAAACAGCGACAATCATAGCCTGTTATATAATAAATACCAAATGATATGCCAAATTCTTGGGGTAGGTAAAGGCAATAATTAAATATTAGGAATTGATTAATTTGACTAGAGGTAGGTAGTTATGCTGCCATCTCATACTAAATTTAATGACCAATTCCAAATTAAATTTTTAAAAATCTCTAAATTATAAATTAATTTATTTATAATTATTAAATTTAATACAAGATGGAAGCATAACTGTCTACCTCTAGTCAAATTAATTAATTTCTAATATTTAATCATAGCCTTTACATAGCCCAAGAATTTGCATATCATTTGGCATATTTATCAGACATATCTGTGATTTTTTTGTTTTCTGCAAATCGAATTTGCATTCCAGGTTGGTTCATTTCGCACTAAAAGAAAAGATAATTCACGTTCCTTAACAATGTATATTGTATAATTTTCTTTGAATAAATGTTATACATAAAATATTTGAATGTGTTTCTCGGCATGGAACGCATTATCATATTTTACATTAATTTCTATGGGAAAAATTGTTTTGCTTAACAATTAAGATTCTGGAATGAATTATGCTCATTAAGTGAGGTTCCACTGTATATAAATGTGTTATATATTATATTACACATTTTTTTATTTTGGATCTTAGATTTCTAAATGTCATTGCTCACTGTACCTGAAAATTGAATGCAATTAACAAAGATGTGGTTAAAAGTAAAAGCTCCATCTCCACCAAAACAAACAAACCAATACTTTACAAAGAAACAACATGTAAGTGGATCATACTGAGTCACAGGTGGGGTCTACAATCCTTCACTCAAATGACCAGCTGTTAACTTCCTCTGAGGATTCGTCATGATTTTGTGGAAAGGGTGAAGGAAGAGGAAGGATGATATTTGTGTAGGGATAGAAAACAAAAAAGACTTCACTTTTGACTCAGACTTGGAGTTGAAGAATGGTTATTTGTTTGTTTCCATAACAACTATTCCTTAAGTTTGATTTTTGAATAACCTTTGGTTATATACAAATTACAAATTTAGTTTTAGTTTTTATACAGGTAATATTTATCTGGATATAGTATGTATTAAAAGCAAAATGTTCTGTCATCACCACACACAAATAATGTAAATTTAAAAACAAACTTTAAACAGTTTTTAAAAATGTTTTAATTTTCAACTGACTTATTTTATTTTTAATTTGGTTTCAGTGTAAAGGCCAGAGTTTTAATTATGTCATTATTTTTTAATTTAATTATTATTTTTAGTTTTAATTAATTTTTAGGTTAAATTTGTTTAATATTAATTTAGTTTTAGCTTTATAATTATTTTTAATAGTTATTAATTTATTATTATTTATTTAATTTTGCCATTTTTGAACCCTTAATTATGATTTTTTTTAATTAATTGCAACTCTTTTTTCTTTTGCAACATAACTATTGAAATTGTTTCACAGAAACGATAATAAAATTTAAATGTATTTTAAGTTTTTAGTAATTTCATTAATTTTTGTTATATAAATTTACCCGGTTTTTTAAAATTTAATTATAAACGAGTTAATATTGATTGAACTATTGGGCTACCTAGTATTTCAATAATAATCAATTCAACTATTATTACAATAACTATATATATAATATAAAATTTATGATTTATTTATATATATATATACTAGCTTACCCGTCGCGCATTGCTGCGATCTCAGAAGAAACGAAATTCAAGCAAACTCGTTATAATAAAATTAAATTTTCATTTTATCATTTTTATTGAAATATATTATTATTATTCGTTTTCATCGGGAAAACATTTCAAAGTGTCGTTTCAATTCTATTTATTTATTGGAGTGCTCGTGGATACACGATATTTTTTGTTTTTTCGTCTGGTGCGTACACGAATAATTCGGAAGGTTTTCCGACGCGTGAGCTGGCCACATACAGTTGTCCATGCGAGAAGCACGGATTCTCCAAATTTAGCCCACACACTTGCAGCGATTGTCAAAAGCGCGATATTCCCCATTTATATATATATTTTTAAATCCTTTATAATTTTAATTATTTAATTGCTCCTTCCTCTCTTCCTTGGCATGTTGTGAAATTTCTGATAGTTGGATAATAAACCGTTTTATTGTAATTTGTCTTTTTAAATTATTTTGAGTCGATATTAAAATTTGGAAAAGGGGGATACCTAGATCGGTAAAATAGGCGAATTTCTTCCTACAACTTCGGTCACTGTTCGGGGTATAGTTAAGATTTTATGAACAGGTACAAAATGTTTACTTTGGATAGGGTAAGGTAAGGCATATCTATCTAGACAGATAAGATAACCTTAGTACCCTAATGTATGATTATTAATGGCTATGTTCACCAACAATGAGTTGAAGTTAATCAAATAGCATTCACCTGATGTAAAATGAATGCTGATTGATTGACTTTTGACTCTTAACTCTTCATTGGTAAATATAGTCATAAAAAGACAAACTTGAAGCCATTTATTTATTTGCTTAGGACTAGAAATGTTTCAATTTTGGAATATTTGTATACAGTGGTACCTCAGGATACGAAATTAATCCGTTCCGAAACTAAGATCGTATCATGAAAATGTCGTAAGGTGGATCATCTTTTCCCATACAATTACATGTAAAACCAAATAATTCGTTCCAACGCGAAAAACATACTCAAATTAAAGCCAAGTAATACATTAAAAAAAATAACTGTAGTAAGAAAAACAAATGAAAAATGCGAACTAATGTAACGTCGTATGGTGAGTTTTTGTTCGTATCGTGGAGCAAAAATATGCTCGAATTTCATGTCGTATCCTGAAAATTTCGTATGGTGGGGCGTTCGTAACCTGAGGTACCACTGTATTTGCATCTGACTTGATTTGATAATGTTAGTCTCATTTAACTTCTTTTATTGTATCACTTGTTTAGAGATTTTTATTAACTTTTGATAAAACAAAAACTTTTCGCATATCTACATGAATATATTTTTTATAGATACAATAGATACATATATAATATGTATATTTATACAGGTATACCTTGCCTTAAGTCAAAAAACAACGTAAGTTAAATTTACTTGTCACTAGGCTAAACCACAAATAACCATTCCCACTTTTGTATTTTATTTATAAATGAATTTTTAATAATATATGGTTAATAAGAATCTATTTTAAGCTTACAAACAAATAAATTTTAGTTTTTAATATAGTACAGAAAAAAGTAATCTAAATTTTGTGAATTCATGAACGTACAGTACATACTTGTAAATGTACGTGTTTGCAATTTGGTGATGTTTACAGTACATCGCAGACTCTTTATTTGTGAATGTGGTTTGCTCTAAGACATTATAAAATAAAATGATTTTATAAGGTTAAATAACAAATACAGTTATTAAAATTATTTTGCGACAGTAGAAAATAAACTAATTTATATTAAATTTACCAATATCGAATGGCACTGACAAGGACGCCAAACAGTAATGTTGGAGCTACTGTGTAAAACACCAATATTGAGCACTTAAAGACCGCTAAATAAGACGACAACACAGAAACACAGATGTTTTCATGTTTCGTTCTCTAGGATTTACGATAATTATATTAACATTTACTGTAAATGTATATATTTTAATATGATTTTATGTGCTTTAATGCTTTTATAGTGATATTACGATTTCAATATTTGTGGCAGACAGACATAAAGTTGAATAAAATGACTTAAACTTGATTTTTATTTTTCCATATATTTTTTGACAAACAACATATAATCAAGAATGACGTAACTCAAAACAACATAAGTCAAGGTATACCTGTATATAATATATTTTACATGTCTATATACACATATACATACATATTGATACATACACACTTAGCAGGGAGGCCAGAAAAATCATCCAGAATAACTGAAATAGAGCATTAATTATCTTAGAATCTTAGAAATCCATATTCTGGTTAACCCTAAGGTAAACTAGAATGCCAGTTTACACCAAATGTGAGAAGTAATTTCTTGTCTCCATTTATTTCAGCATGCTGCTCAATGTGCAAAAATATGGTATCAAATTCTGACTATTAATTATAATTCAAGTTATATCTGAAGTGATTTCAAACCTTTGTCAGCTGATTTAACCAATATATAAATGTAAATTTCAGAATATTTATATGATAGCAATTGTGAAGTGCAAACAACTTCTCATTACATAACAATTCAAGGGAAAAGTGCATCAGCAAGCTAATGAAATTACTAAAATGTGTTAAGAAAATTTCCAAAAAATTATTGATGAACATTGATACACACTACACAAGCTAAATTTTGGAACAATCACTTTTCACAATGGTTCTTAATCCTTTAAAACATGGTTTTGTACTACATGAAATTTTATAGAAATTTAGCTACTGTGTTATACAAGTCTGTATAGTTAAAAAATATATAGAGTTTAGAATATGCTAAAATTTGTTCTAAAATATTTTAAATTTACTTTGTTACACAATTAAGATAAGAATAAACTAAAGTTGCTAATAGGTCTAGCATCATGTAGATTAAGAATGCTAAGCAACAAGCTGGGTTTTAAAATCATACTATCTTCTCTACATGTTATGAAATGCTATTTGCTGTTCAGCTTGTGAATAAATCAGAATATTGAAACATGTTAAGTTTTTATTTGATATCAGTAAACATAATATTGTGTGTCATTATCTGTTCTAAAGAATTCAAAATAACAATGACATTAATAATTATATAACTATAAATTAAATATTAAAAATCAATTTACCATTTTTGTTAATATCACCATTCTCTCTGATAGAGAGATTTTCTGCTAGTTCAGAAAGACGTTCATCACTATTCAGTCGTGGAGCATGAAGAGTATGAGAAATTCGACGACGAAGCCTCTTCATTGTAAGTTTTCATCACTTATAATAATATATTAACATCTAATATTTGTCAAACCATGTCCTTAAAAATGTGCAGGCAGGAATATGGAAGGCACTTAAGTGAAAAATGCTGTCATTTGTTTATATAATGCTTATATGCACAATTTGGCATATAAAGAATTGCAATATTATTTACCTAAAAATTTAAATTTTAAACATTAGTCTCAATCATAATAAGAATAAATATTGTAATATAAATTGAAATATAAATATATATTTAATAAATTAACCATTGTTTTTGAAATTTTACATTATTTTAATAAATTTAAAATGTAATATGATTAAAAACACCAGAAGAGATATATGCAAAACAATACCTTGCACACCAGAACAGGTATAAAAATGATATCAGGGATAAGCCAAGCTCTCTTCTTGGAGAGACTACTGCTCCCAGGCCTCTAAAAACACCTGGGTTTTCTCACCAAATGGTTTACTGATAAACTTAAATCCAGGAGCATTTTGACTACCATCAATATTAATAACACACATACTAAAGATGTATAATCTACAATTGCTAGACAGTTTGATATTTATTGTGGTAAGGACAATCCCAAAGAGGACACCTGGCAAAGAGGGATTAGGGTAACCATCGTTCAGCCAATGATCACTGAGAATAGCTCACCATTACATTTTGAGGAAGTAAATGAGGTAACTAGGTCCATTAGCAAAAAGAAGGTTCTTGGGCTGGATAACATTACTCCAGAATTGGTACAAAATATTTAGAAGCACAATCCAGGCATTTTATTAAACATTTATAATGAATGTCTTATGTGGGGCATCTTCCCTGAAGTTTGGAAAAGGACAAAAATTGTCCCAATCCCTAAACCTGGGAAACCTCTGGAAGATAGGCTTATATCCCTTCTTCCAGTCTTGGGGAAAATATTAGAAAGGCTAATCACCAACATGCTCAACTGACATGTGAAAGCTAACTGCCATCTCCACCACCATCAGTTTGGCTTCAGAAAGCAACACTCCATGACTGATGTCATCTTCTGTGCCACCAACAACATTAATGATGATCTAACTAGGTACAAGTATGTTTTAAGTGTCAGCTTGGACATACAAAAGGCTCTTGATAGTGCTTGGTGGTCCTTGATTTTGTACCAACTTCAGGTAAATAACTGCCTGGCTAATCTCTATCATCATTAGGGATTACCTCTCCAATAGAACTGCAATACTACAAACTGGAGGCCTGCAGTTTGAGAGGGAGATTGGTAGAGGCTGTCCCCAGGGCTCTGCATGCAACTGACTTTTATGGAATATGATCTTTAACCAGTTCCTGATGAAGGAATTTGGCCAACACCACTCCACTGCCTATGCTGATGCTCTAGTGTTGATGGGTGGAGGTTCAAGAACAGATCTAGAGCAAAAGAGCATGAATATTCTCACTATTATCATCTTATGGGGCAAACAATATAAGCTCCATTTTAATCCCAACAAAATGGAGAATATTGTTTTCAGTAAGCCTGGTAAGCCACATCTTTATAGGAGAATCACAACTGTTAAAATGGTTAACAGCAGTATCAAGATTTCAAAGACTATTAAATACTTGGGGGTCATCTTGGATAACTAGCTATCCTGGTCCCTATACATCAGCCATATAACAAAGCACGCTGCCTTATTTTTAGTCTTTCAGCAAGACTGCAAAAAAATAACTGGGGACTATTATCAAGTGTCATGAGCATGATATATGACATGATCTTTATGCTAATTGTAACACATACATGTAGTAATTGGAACAATGCCATTCATCTCTCACACAACAAGCATAAACTACTAGCAGCCCAGCAGAGGGCACTGTTGTATATTATTGAAGTGTATTATACCAGCTTTACCAGTAGTCTACATATAATTGCTCAAAGACCACCAGTGGATCACCCACATCACTTTGTGGGTGAAAAAATGGCAAGAGTAATCAAAATGCTGCTGTTAATAACAAGGACATCAATCCCAATGACATTGAACAGCATATGGAATTGCATGGTACCAAATATTTTTTCCCGGTTTGGCAGAAATTTTGGCAGAGATTTTAAACATAAAAAAATTGCTCCATTTCAAGTAGTTTTTCCCATTTACGCAAGTTTCCACTTTATTCAGGTTCTGTTACTTTTACTGTATTGAGTTGGCAGTGAAGCCTTTCCAACAAATTTTTGTATTAAATATCTTGATAATATTTTAGCATGTTGAATTTTTCCACTATGAAAAAAATATTCATCACAAATTGGAATTACAAATTTCTAAAAATAAGAGATTTAAACACAGCAGCCATGAAAATTATATTTAAAAAATATAATTTATATTTTATAAATA